GGGGGGGGGGGGGGGGGGGGGGGGGGGGGGGGGGGGGGGGGGGGGGACGGGGTGCCAGCCCCCAGGGACGCGGGCGAGGCTCTAGGTCTTCCTAGGAAAGGCAGCGGGCTGGGGGCTCTGGGTTCCCGCCTCCCAGGCAAGCCCCCATCTTCCTGCACCTCCTGGGCTTCAGAAGGTGGGTTGGCAACATTGTCACGTCCCTCTGAAGAGGCAAATAAATTATTGCTACAAAATAACGGGGCGGGAGAGGGGGAGGGGGCGGGGGCAGGCGGGCGCTCAGTTCACCGCGCGCACTGAGCGGCTGCTCCGAGGAAAGCGGTGCACCTTGATGTGCTTGGAGAGGTGGTCGCTCCGTGCGAACTTCTTCTCGCACACAGGACACTGGTAGGGCTTCACCCCCGAGTGCGAGCGCCGGTGCCGCGACAGCTCATCGGAGCGGGAGAACCTGCGGGACATTCAGGGGCCGCGGTGAGAGAGGCCCGCCCCGCCAGGAGCCCACCCAGAAGGCAGCGCAGGTGCAGGGCTCTACCTGGCCAGGCAGGCGGGGCCCGCCAGTCAGGCGGGGCCAACACTTCTCCAGGTTTTGAGTTACTTCTGAATCCCCTGGTGAAAAGTTGCTGTCCCCAGCCCGCCCCCACCTCCACCCCAGAATGGGAAGAGCTGTCAATAAAAGGCTCAGTGGCCGCACAGCAGTCCGTTCTTGGGCATCTGGGCCTGCGAGCAGCTGGTAAATATTCTGAGGGGCTGTTAAGCCACCAGAGCCTAGGATTTACTCTCCACAGCACCCTGCTAGCCGTGGAGAAGCTACCCCCCAGGCAGAACTTAGGGCTCTAGGAAGGTCTGCATGAGGAAGCCCATCCACAGGGGAAACGGAAGCCTGAGAGAGGTGTCTCTTTCCCCAGCACTGCAGAGAGCCCCTGGCTCCGCTCCCTTGCCTTCACTACAGCCATACATACACTGTATGCAGACTCACATTCCTACCCCGCTCCTGGTCACGGCTTTCCTGAAGTCTGGGTCCCGTAAGCTGTCACCAGACAAAACCACACCACCGCAAGATACTTCTGAGAGTTTAAATGGTTCACCTGCCACCTCCCTCTTTTGGCCTAAGCCTGTCTGGGAGCAAATGCTCCCAAAGCCCAGAGGCCACTGAGAATGAGCAGCTACTAATGGAAGAGGTAAGGATCCCAGCTGGGCCACAGGGCTGAGACCGCTGTCACTGACCTCTAGGATTTGAAGCCCCTCCACCCCCACCCCATAACCCTCATCTTGACAATGAGATCCCACTCCCCACACACACACACATACTTGTGCTCTACCCACATTGACCCATCCTTGGTCTCTCTTGCCACAGGACATTTGCACATACCGTTCCTTCCATCTGAAATGGGATTCCCTCCCCTCTTCTTGCTCCCTCTCTTCCATCACTCAAATGTCACTGCCTCAAGAAAGCCCTCCAGGACTGTATCCCATTCTAGGCTCCCATGGCACTAAATGCACCTCACTTTAACTTTAAATTCATTTTCAACTTTTTGGTGAATGTCAGTCTGTGCCATTAGACCATCAGTTCCATGAGGAAAGACGTGTGTGTCTTCCTCCCTGTGGTCCATCCCACAAGCAGCCCAGGGCCTGGCACATGGCAGGTGCCCATAAGTGCATTTACATGAAACAACTGATACAGCAAGCATCCACTGAGGATGGAGGGCTGTCACAAGGAATTCTTCTCAAGTCCTATTGCCTGCACACACACACACACGTGCACACCATGAAATGCACATGTACACACCCCTTTATACATCCACACACAGGCATGCCACAAACATGGGTGCACTGCACACACGTGTCCACTCTACATATGTGCACATGCATACAGTCACCTCACACGTGGGCGTGTGTGTACATACAAAAACACATGTGTGCACACACACAAGTACCAGGTCCACCCCTGTGGGTGGAGGCCTTCCTTAATCCCACAGCCTACCGAGGACTAGAAGGAACATGCCTTGGGGAAGGTTCAGCTGGGGAGTAGGAAGGCCTGAGCACTGGACAGGGAGCCTGCCCGGGAACTCAGAGGACAGGAAGCTCAGCCCAGTTCAGCTACCTCTGGAGCCTAGGACCTGGTCCTGAGAGAACAGCCAGGGGTCTGCACTTGGAGTCCACTCCACTTCATTTCCCAGGGCACCAACTTAGGCTGGCACAGAGCAATGCTCTCAGCATATGTTTGGAATAATGGAAGCTTGACTGGCCCATTTGCCAGATGAGGAAATTGAGGCTCAGAGTGATGAGGGCCTGATCCAGCATCCCTATCATGACAGAGCAGCCAAGGCCAGAGCAAAGGTCCTGGCATGGCTCCCTCCCATGCCCTGTTCACCCTGGTGACTGCAGAGTGCCTGACCTCCTCCACATTGCCTGGCTAGGCAGTGTGTGTCTCTGGAGCCCTGAGCCAATGAGGAAGTGGCATCAGTGCACGCTGGAGGTCAGAGCCTGGAGCCTGCTCCCAGGCCAGGGCCACTGCCCCCAGCAGGAGTTGAACACACAGCTTCTGAACGGGTGGGCCTTCCCAGAACACAGGCAGGCAGGAAGCCACAGAAATGATGCCACCAGCAATAGCCTTTGCTGAGCCTTCCTGGGCACCAGGCCCTGGGTTGTCTTGCCCCTTTCCGGTGAGGGAGCCAGGATCAGTACCAGAGAACAGACAATACCACAGCAAGGGCTCAAAAAGGACAAGGGGCTTGCCAGCGTCACAGAGCCAGCGACATGGTTGGATCCTTTCAGGTCCCTATCCCACTGGGAGCCCCGTGCAGCCCTGAGCAAGCTCAGGAACCATGTTGGGCCTGTTTCCTCACTCATCCAGTGAAGACCTCAGGATTCTGGCCCACCTTCTGGGACTCATCTCAGAGGCCAAAGGAGCTGACACAAAGACCACAGTGGCCCTCTGACCACGCGGACACTGTGGGAGAACCAGGCCCGAGAACAAGTTGTCCCTACCTCCAAACCTCTTCCCTGCTGCCTCAGCATCCTGTGACCTGAGAAGTCACAGACCTGAGAAGTGTGCTCTCAGAAGATCCGTACCTCACACCCTCACATGCATTCTCCCAGACAGCAGCCACTTGAGGACACTGAAGGCGACACAGTGGGAGGGAGGCCATGTGGCTAAGATGCAGGCCTTGCAGGCAGTGAGCTCGGCCACTGATCAGGGCCTGGGCAAGTCACCAAGCTCTCTGAGGCCCAGTTTCCCCACCTGGAGACAGGGAAATAACAGATCTGCCTCACAGGACTCTGAGGATTGTAAAAGGCATTGAGTGTTTAGAACAGTGCTCACCACATGGCAATCATTCAATGATTACCTGCAAGGAGCTCAGCGCAGTGCCCGGTCCCTGTTGATGTCTAGGGGCACATGGGTCAGCACCACGATTCATGTGGCTGAGGTGCAGGAAAGGGAAGCAGCCCATCACGACAGCCCCACAACTGGCACACACTACACCTTTGTGCAAAGCACCCTTCCCATCAGCCAGTAAGTCACGACTATCAACAGCCAGGTCTCAAGGACTGTAATGGGAATGGTGCTCCATGGAGTGGTATCATGCACAATCTGGCCAAGAACACTTGGGGGCTCTGCCAAGCACAGGCAAGAAGTTAGAAAATGCCTCGTTGAACAGGAACAGCAGTGACACAGGGGCTAAGAGAGGAGGCCAGCAGCGTACCACTGGGTCTGAATCCTATCCCTGCCACATTCCAGCTCTGGGGCCTCAGGCCCGCAACTACCCTTCTCTGGGCCTCCCATGTCCACTGGGGATGACCACAGTACCTGCCACAGAGGGCTGCTAGAAGTTATTAATATTCATATTAGCTGTGGAAGGAGGGTATTCTTTCTGGATGGAATGGTTTGGCCTTTCCGGAACAGGATGTTCTGCTGCCGTGAACAAAGGGGGCCTGTGTCCGAGAGCGTAGCAAGGAAACTTCTAGGAAGGCAGACAAACAGCCACTTCCCAGACAGTTAGATCGCGATAGGAAAAGTCTGGTTTGGGCCCCATCAAGAATGCCAGAACCATGTCCCAAGAGAGGAGGGGACAAGGAATACTGGGTTCAGGACCAAAAGCAAAAGGAAGTGGGGGCTGGTTACCTGGCAAATGATGACCTGGGTTGGGGGGAGGGGAGGACACCATTCAATTCACAAAGGGGCACAGGACACAGTGCCAGGGCCAGAACCAGCCCAGCAGGATAAAGAGCAAACTGCTCACAGGGCCACCGGAAATAGAGGCAGCCTTGGGTGTGGTAAGCTCCCCATATGAGAAGGCTGGCAAGTATTCAGGGGGCTGCCCGAAGTCCAGCTGCAGATGGAGGTCCTTCTTCCCACCACTCGAGCAGGCCACCTCCCATAGAAGGTTTGCCCAGGGGGCTAGAGAGAGGTCCTGAGTCTGGGTGGAGGAGGTTGGGGAGCAAACAGCCTGAGTTGAACTCCAGACTGTGCTACCCACTAGCTGTGTGACCGAGGAGACCTTACTTAACTGTTCTGTCCCTCAAATGCCTCCTCTACAGATGGGGACAGCATCCAGATGCCCACCTCGTGGACTTGCTTGGAGCATTAAATGAGTTACTCTGGAACACTCAGAACATGCATTAGGAGCTATTGTTATTGCCATTGTTGTTGGCTCTTTCCCCCTAGCCCAGAGGCATGACACCCGAAAGAGCTCACGGCCTTGTGGGAGAGAGAGAACACCCAGCCATTCTGGTACCAGGCACAAGGGATTGAGGACAAGGGAAAGGCCAGCTGTGTAGCAGCAGGCGTTGAGTTCCCAGGTGGGAAACGTATGTTCACCAGACTGCTGGTGGGTCAGGTGGGACCGAGATGCCCACCTGAGGGCACAGCCAGAGCCATGCCCACGAGCTCCATCCCCGTGGGCTCTCTGGAAATACAGATTGGTGCCTCCACATCACAGAGCTGTCGTAAGGGCGCAACGAGCTTATCTAATGTGACATGTGCAGAACAAAGCAGGGACCATTGCAAGACCAACTACCATTGCCATCAGGAGGAAAGTGCTAGAGACAGAGGGCACAGAGAGGATGCACAGAGGATGCACAGAGGGCAGGGGCCTGAGTGGGAGCCTGCATTGTGGAAGGGAGGTTGGGAAGCAGATCGTGCCAGAATGAGAAGTTTGGATAGGAATCTAAGTTTACCAAAGCACATGAAAAGGCCAGAATAGCCTCATAAGGTAATGAGTTCCTTGTGGCAGGAAGTATACAAGCAAGGGTGGAGATTTGTGGAAGGTATTCCTGCTCTGAGAACTTGGAGCAGTGCCCAGCATAGAGTAAGTGGTCAGAAAATATGGCGCGTAACTGTCATCATCACTACCACTGCTGTCCTGTCCAGACCAAGCTGCCCCAAAGCCAGTCTGTCTTCCTGCCCAAATACTGAGAGGGCACCCTCCATATACAAGGGACATGTGCATCTTGTGTCCATCTCCAGGGGCTCAGGATTCCTGATGGCCAACCAGGGACTCTTGCATTCTCAGAGAAATAGCTCTCCCAAAAGGCAGGCACCTTCAGCTCCCCGTGCCTCTGTCACCTATAACTCCACAAAGGCCTGACCCTATTCCAGGGAAAGCTTGGGAGAAGCTGGGGAGGCCCTCTGAAGGCCCAGGAGTGGTTGGAGCCAGGGATGGCTCCACGGTCAGCTTCAAGGGACCTTGCTATGCCAGGCACACACCAGCCTACCCCTGCAAGAGGGTCCTGGGCAAGGAGACCAGTGCCAAGGCCCACACAGTGGCAAAGCTGAATCCCCTCCACAGATCCCACTCCCACTTGCTTGCACACCTCCTACCATGGGGAACTTACCACCTCCAGAGGATACTGTGTTGGAGCTGAGACATGCCTCTGTAAGATGCACTCTGGGCTGAGGGTTCCATCTGCTCTCTGGGACAGCCCAGAAGGTGACAGGTCCCCTCCTCCTAGGGGAATGGGACAAGCCGGCAACCTTCACCAAGGACCACACCCTTTTGCCTCGTGGCGCTACCTGACTGGAGGGGCCACTTGCCAAGAGTCAGCAGTGGCCAGGGGACAGTGCCCAGGAACGTAAGCCCATCATGAGTCGGACCAGTGCTCTGGCCAGCCAGATGCCCAACCCCTCCACAGCCCTGCCCCCCACCAAGAAAATATGCATCCAAGAGGAGTCCCTGGGAGTCTGGGGTACCTCCAAAATAGCACCCTTCTCAGACTCCACCCTTTCTGAGTAACAGGACCACCAATGAGAAGGGGGTAGTGCTGAGTGTTCCTGCACCCCTGACCCTGGTAGGGAGCAGGCCCTCCACTTCACAGATGAGGAAAACTGAGGCTTGGCCGGGGGGACCTCCCCGGAGGCACATGGCGAATTGGAGGCTGACCTAGGCTGAGGCTCCCCATGGTTACTGCCAGCTACTCCCTATCAAGGGTGTCACAATGCCCCTCCCTTCTACAGTTGAGTGCCTGCCTCTACCGCCCCAGTGTCTCAGCTTCTCCCCCAACCCCCAAGCTCCGACCAGCAACACTGCATACCCACCTGTGTGTCAAGCCTCACAAGTGGCCCCACAGGTGCACCTGTCTCCCCAGGGCCCACCTGGCACACTGTGCCAGGATGCCCAGGGAGGGATGGGACACCAGGCACCGCCACCCTGGTGTCAACACTGTGCCCACTCTTGCAGAAGCCATGTGGGCCTGTCTGATGGGTGCCTTTGTGGGGTCAGTGGCTGGGTGACACCCTTCATCAGGAAAGACCTCCATAACCCCAGGTGCTGTTTGGGAGAAGTCCCTTCCCTGGCCAGCCCAGCACTCCATGGAAAGAGGCAGCAGCATCACATTGGATCTTCCAGTCACCGATCCCACCACACCACAGCCAGCCAGGACTCTAGGGCCAGCACCTCCCACCGGGGGCCAACTCTCCAGCGCTCTCAGATGAGTCAGGTCAAGAAAACAGAAGCTGCCAACGGCTCCCCATCGGTCACACCCACACAGATGCACACACACGGACAGGGTACACAAACATGGGGAGTTATGCAACACACCAAGACACACAACTAAGAAAGCAAGACGTGTACACATATGCACACGCACAGCTGCCCGCCTTCTGCGAGATCCGCACACAGACAGATGAGCGCACCTCGTTGCTCTCTCGCACACATCCGCAAAGCAGCAGCCATGGCAGCAGTGCACAAATGTGGGAGCACAGGCCACCCTCCTGGGGGGCCACATTCCTACGGGGTCAGTGTGCTGAAGACTTGGGACAGCCAGTTTTCATGGTACCCCTGGCCATGGGAGCTCCCGGCTACCTGCTTTTCAGGACAAGGTACCCAAGCCCACCCAGGGGCCCGCCAGCTCTGCCACCCGCTGCCTGCATAGCCCTGAGCAAGACCCCTTATCCTTTGAGAGCTGGTTTCCCCTGCTGTACCCCACAGAATGGAGTCTACAAGGACTTTTCCACCTTCACTCAGCACCCCCTGCCTGGTTGTCCTGTGAAGATTCCCAAATACACCTTCAAGTACCCGCTGGGGAGCAAGGACCAAGCCCAGCCCGTGAGTCCAAGAACATCTGCAAGTGAAGCTGGTCCCTCTGGTTGGAACAGAAGCATTTCCAGGTTGTGACTCCTCTGATACAGGACCCTCTGGCTCCAATCCCATTGACATAGTGCTGTGGCCTTGGGCAAGTTACCTAGCAGGTCTGAGCCTGTTTGCTCAGCTGAAAGATGGCAGCGAGGGTAGTACTTTCCCTAGGGGTGCTGTGAGGCCCAGAGGGAGCAGTGCACACGTGGCCACAGCTCCCTCGGAAACACAGCCCTTAACTCTATCATTTTTAGCTGCCCTCGTTACTAAGGAGAGGGCCCTTCTGCCATGGCCCAGCTCCTAGCCCTGGTCATGAGCTGCAGCAAGCCTTACCTGGTCATTATGAAACTGGAGACCAGTTTTTTTTTAGGCTCTAGTGATCACTAGGGATGAGGAAACCTCTGGGCAGCCATGCCAGCTCTGGCCCCACTCCCTGCCTGCCCCCCTCTCCCCTTCCTAATCAGCCTTATCTAACGGTGAACCAGGCCTTGACCGCAAACCCAGCGGAGCAGAGATTCATCGGCTGTGCTCAGCACCCGCCTTGTCACCTGTCATACTGACCTCCAGCCGCAGCCCGGCCAGGTGCAGGCAAAGGGCTTCTCGCCTGTGTGCCGGCGCAAGTGGGCCTTGAGGTGGCTGCTTTTGGTGTACATCTTGCTGCAGCCAGGGAAAGTACATTTGTGCATTTTGATGAGTTCTGCTGCCGGATTCTTGGGGAACTTCTGGCCCATGAGTAGGCCGGTGGGGCCAGGGCCCAGGGGTCCCGACCCAATGGGCTTGGCAGCAATGGGCACAGGGGCAATTCGCACGAACTTGGATGACAGGTTCACATTGGAGGAGGGCACCACCTGGGGCACAAGTGCGAAGGTCTGACCCTGGATATTGACCAGGAGCTGGGCCACCTTGACGCTTTCCGGGGCCTGCCCAGGGGAGGCAGGCTCCGTGCCTGACTCCTGCTTCACCTGCACAGGCTGGATCTGTAGCAGCACTGGGATAGGGCCATCAGATGCAGGCCCCCCACCCGGGCTCTGGCTGCCGCCCACACTGGCACTGCCCAGAGGCGGGGTGCAGCGCTCTCTCCCACTGGACCCGGGATGGAGGTGGCTCCTGTGTGGCCCGGCTGAGAGCTGGTCACAGGCCTCTGCGTCCTTGCTGTTGCTCTCTGGGGCCTCCTTGACTCCCAGCTCCATGTTCTCTTCCAGAAACTCTTCAATCTCCTCCAGGGTGGGCTGGAAGGGCCTTGGGACGTCATCAGGGTCACTCACAGGAAATTCGGGGAAGCAGAAATGCTCCCCCTTCACAGGTGTCGGTGCCCTCCGCCAGGCCCCCCAGGCCATGGAACCACCGGTGGCCCCAATGCCACCACTGCCACCACTGCCCAGTGTGGCCTGGGACAGCAGGAAGTCCAAGATGCTGTCCTGGCCCTCAGCACCTGGCCCACCACTGTAGCAGGAGCAGACAGCTTGTGAGTCTGGGCTGGCACAGGAGCAGAGGCTGGAGGCGTCGCTGTCATCCTCCGAGAGGGGCGAGGGCAGCCTGTGGTACGCCCGCCCACTGGCCAGCCTGTCACCCAGATAACCAACTGGGCATTTCGGCGACGAGAAGGTCTCGTCCACTGGCAGCAAGTGGTCCACCATGCTGGCCTGGCCGTGCCGTTGGCGGCTGCAGAGAGGAACAAAGGAGGCCTGGTCAGGAGGACGGCATGCTCACCTGCCACCTCATGGGCCTGTGCCCCCACTCCGCTGCTGGCCCACAGGCTCCCACTGCCAAATGCCTGGGTCCTGTCTCCATCCCATCCCGTGGGAGAACTCTATCTGCAAGAGTGTTTTCTGAAATTGCACCACCTGTTTGCAAAAGAGCGCTCTCCAAGCCCATTGCACAATCCAGGGTACTTTTGGTTTCAAACAGGTTTTCCAGAACAATTCGGTAAAGAACACCCGTGTATCTGTGAATGATTGAGCGTGAATGCATGAGAGTGAGAAAGTACGCGAGAAGGCTCTCTGTACCCTGAAATGGCCAAGGTTGGGGAACCCCATCCAGCTAACTGGAGTGGCTGCATTTCTGAGGACACCTGACCTCAGCTCCATTCTTGTTGAGTCACTGGCAGGGGCAGGAGATTGGCCATTTGCCCTCTGACCCCTGGGTGGTTGGGGCCTGAGTAGGGTTACCAGATTGAGCAAATAAAACTAGAGGCCACCCAATTAAATCTGATGTTCAGGTTTTAAAAAAACAAGCAACTTGTAACACAAGTATATCCCAAATATTAAATGGGCCATGCTCTTAAGTAATTATTTTATCTGATAGTGAACCTTAATTTAGCAGTCCGTATTTTAATCAGGTAAGTCTAATTTGTGGGGGAAAGAGAAAAAAGACTAAAGACCCATATGCCCCTGTCCTCACAGTCTGTTTCCCCATCTGAAGGGGGACAGCTCATCCACCCTCCCGTTCTCAGATCCCTCTAGCCTCACCTGCCTCCTCTGTGAAATGGGAAAGGCAGGGACAGAACAAAATGCTCTCAGCTGTACCCAGGCATTTTACTGAGGCTTTACCACTAGGTGAACAGGACGCTACCCCACAGTGATAACTCAAGAGCGCAAAAGTGGACCCAGGTCCCAGCACTTGCATGGCCACTACCCCATTTTGACTTCACAGCCACCTAGTGGGATGGGAGATAAAATGCCCTTGGCCTGTACCCCCCACCCCATGGTGCACTCACCACCTCAGGAAGGCTCAGCTAACTCCCGTCTTCCCACTAGACCATGAACTCCATGACGGCAGGCTAGGCTGCTAGGTCTCCACTGTGTTCCCAGCTCCCGGCGTGGCAGCTGGTGCCCAGGAGGGGCTCAGAGAATATCAACAGAGAAGAGAGGGGACATCTGCCTCCTCTGAAGGCCATGCTAGGTCCGGTGTCCAAGGAGAGTCAACAGTGTACAGCTGTAATTGGGCCACCTATGTGGACCTTTGTCCCCACCCAGTGACCAGTGAGGTTTGGTAAAAGGGAACTTTCTATATCTGAAACCAGAGATTCTCTGCTGCCTGTCATCACTCTGCACCCACCCCTATGCTCTGTCTTGAGGACTACTCCTGGACCTGGCACACACTGCTACCCAATAGTCAACAAGTCAACAAGCCTGGCCAGGGACAGAGACCTCTCAGGGCCAGCTAGGATCATCATCAGCTGTGCATTCCCCAAATCTCAGTTTCCCCACCTGTTCCAGGCTCCAATGATCTCGGTTTCCCACTAATCCAGGAAGCTTCATGGAGCTCCAGGAAACCAAGGCAAGGTAGATGCTCTTGGCAAGTCTGTGCCCCAGGGCAGTTTCACCAAGAGGACATTTGGCTCTTTGATTTTAAATACTCATCTGAGGATTTAAAACTGGGAATTTCAAAATACACACTAGTCACAGAATTAGATGCTAAGAAGGAATGAAAGTGCCAGATAATGTGAAGGGCAATGAGCCCACACTGAGCCCTAGGCCCTGCTACCACCCCTTTAACCTACCCTATGAGCAGGAGGCGCTGCTCCTGCCTCTGCAACTTAGCTGAGCAGACTCAGGCAGGTAGCACAACTTATCTGTGTCTGTGTCATGGTCTGTTGGATGGGGAGGCTGCCAGTGGTGCCTATTTCCCGGGTTGCTGAAAGAGTTCAGTGAGCTAACACAACTGAACACTTACAATGGGGGTGCCACATGCAAGTGTGGGTCAGTACCAGCCACTAGGATTAACCTCCAAATAAGTGAACACATATTCTTTCTGTCCCTCTGCTGTGAGCCTAAGGAATCAGGGGGTCTCCAGCCTTCCTGGAACCCAGGCCTTAACTGGTGGGAAGAGGCAGATCAGGCCATGTTCTTGCCCACTTAAAACTCTCCCCTGAAATGTGATCACCAACTGAATATTATTACATGATAGTAAGGAATTACTGTTAATATTTTTAAGTGTGATGATAGTATCACAGTTGGGAACTGAGATATTCACAGATGAAATGGTATAAAAAGAAAGAATGGGAGAAATAAGTAAGTATAGTAGGGTAGGGTAGGAGAGAATTTCTATTAACTTCTCCAGGAAATGTGACCCCTTCTCTCCCAGCAGCCCAGCACCTGGGCCTTGCCCATCTCTCCCAGACCTCACATCCACCTGCTCCACTCCACACTGACTGTGCCCTCTCTGTGGTTCCCTCTTCCCCTCAGTGCTCCCAGTGGGAATGCCTTATTTAGATCCCAGCTCTGAAGTCACTGTCTGGGGTGGCGGGGTAGAGCGCTTTCCTGACCACCCTCTGTCAAATTATCCCACTTTATATTCTTCTAGCAGTTGCTACCAGGAGGAAACTATCGTGGTTATCTTTGTGTACTTTATCTTCTGTCTACCTCCCCAACAAAATACAAGCTGTTCTGACTATCCAGTCCACCACTATCCTAGAGTCTAGAACAGGACCTAGCACAATTTGCTGAGTGAATGAGACGTTCTTCAGGAAGTCAGACAGGCAGTAGGGGTGTGGGGATTCCACCAGGAATAGAATGGCCAGAGTCAGGCAGAAAAGATTTAATGCAGGGCTGAGCAGCCTGGGTGGACACTCAGGCACTGAGAGCAGAGAAGGGGCTCTGGGGCTACCCTGGGTGCTGGCGGTAGAAAAAGGTCCCGCCAGGGCTGGAGGGAGCCGGCTGGGGCGCTAAAATACAGCAGCACATGGCAGGGCCAGAAACACTGCCTGCATGCAGGGGGAGGGGACAAACTGTTCCGGGCACCGTCCCCGGCCTACAGCCGGACTCCGCCCCCCCCCCCCCCCCCCCAGCCCGGCCAGGCCTGCTGTTTATCCTCCCGGGGACACAGCGGCTGCAGGAACAACATGTAATTGATAACAAGCCCAGCGCCCGCCAAGGGCTTGCCATTGGGTCAGCGTGCAAATCACGGGGGTGGCTGGTGGGGGCCGCCCTTCAAAATAAGAGTCTCGCTCCCTGCGCCATCCGCAGGCCCCAAAGTCGCAGAGGCCAGGCGTCCTCCCACTTGTAGGACGGCGGGGGCTCCCGGGAGCCACCTAGTTCTTGGGGGAAAGGTGATTTGAGGGACTAAAGCATTTGGGGATTTTTGTCAGCTCCCCAGGGACTGGGTAAGAAAACATCCCCTCTGTGTCCTGGAGGGGGGTTGGGGGGTGGTCCTTTGGGAATACCACCGTGGGGAGGAAAGAGGGAACCCGAAACAGACGGCCATGGTGGGTGGGGGCGGCCTCTCCTCCGTCCCCCGCCACCCCCGGCCACCGATCTGCTCATGGTCAGTAGAAAGAACCAAGGGACTCCAAGTGGGTAGTAGGAGTACAAGACGTGTGAAGAGTGCGGGTGTGCGCGAAGGGGTGTGAGTTCGTGTCGTGTGATTGTGCGTGTGCGGGGCGTGGTGCGCGGCAGCAGTGTGGCTGTGCCAGAGGGTGTCCCCGACATACTCGTGCGTGGAGCTGACGTGGGTGCCCGCGCGGGTGTGGGAAGGGGCGTGGGAAAGGAAGACGTGGGGGACCAGCTCAGACCCCTCGGTGAGCCCTGGAGCTCTGCCCGCCGGGCACCATGCCCTCGGCCCGCACCCCCCTCCCCCGGAGGCCACGGCTGCGGTGACCGACAGTAACCCCACCGCCACAGACCACTCCGTCCCCCATTCCCGGCCCCCGACCGGCCGGCGCGTCCGCCTGTCCGCTCCTCTCGCCAGGCCCGGCCGGGTGCCCGCCATATGGGAGGGCCGGCCCGCAAGGCGCGCAGGACTCGCGGGACCAGGCGCTGAGGCGGCGTCCCGGACCTGCACGGGGAAAGTGTCTATGGGCAACTGGGGTCACTCTCCCACGGGCTTGTCCGATCCCCGGGCCAGCACAGGGGCTCACCCCGCTCCTCCGACATTTCCTCGGACACTCGGGCGGAGCTTAGGACAGCGGCGGGGGCACCCGGACACACGACCAGAGGCCAGTCAGCGCTCCCACTGCCCCACGCGTGCCCCAACCAGCCCCCTGGGCGCCCGGAGCCGCGTCCACGCAGCCGACCGGCCTCCCCAAGGTTTTCCCACCTGAACTTGGCGCACGCCCGGCTAGCGGCCAGGCCCCGGCGGTCCTGAGGCCCCGGGGGCTGGGCTGGGGGCGGCGGCCTGGCTCCCGGTCCGGCGGCGGCCGCAGGCCCAGCCGCGGGTCCTGCTTTGGTTTGCTCGCCCGCTGGACCGCGGGTCGCTGCGGCGGAGCACTGGCCCGCCGCGGCTGGCTCCGCGCTCACTCCCCGCGGCTCACGTGACGCCGCGGGCGCCGCGAAGGCTCGCAGGAGGCTCGGCCCCGGGCGTGCGCCCCATTGGCCTGCACCGCGCGTCACGCGCCCGGCCCCGCCCCCAGCCCCTCCCCAGCTGCGCGGCTCGCGGGGCTCCGCCGCCGCCCGCGCGCACCCGGTACAGGAGCCACCGGCCCCGCGCGGCCCGCGGTCTCCAGCCGCTTTCCCTCCCCCCACCACGGCCGTGGGCTCGCGGTGTCCGTGGGACCCGCCTCTGAAGGTTGGTCCCCAGGTGAGAACGTGAGACGGGCCTCCGGCCCCGCCCAGAGCCCTGAGATTGTTCCAAAGTGGAGGTCCAGGTGGGGGCCGTGGGCCGCGCGGGCCAGGTCTGCCTCCACTCCCACTTCCAGCCCGGCACCCGCCGCTGTGTCTCCCGCTGAGAGCCGGGGAAGTCGGGGACTTGCCTTAGGCAATCCGGCACGGTCTTTCTGCTGAGCAATCACGGTTCTTACCCCCAGGGAAAGTGAGCGCTCAAGGCGCTGCCTCCCAGGCCTCTCAGAAGGTCTGACGGCGTTTGACCCCTGCCTCCAGTCACTGACACTTGGTGTTTGGGCCACCCTCCCGAAGACACAGCGGTGCTCCACAGGCTGCAAAGGCCGTGCTCAGGCTGCTGTAGTCCGCAGCAGTCCCGGGACGCGTTGGCATTCCACTCGGGTGGAAAGAGGGAGGCTCAGAGTGACTTGCCCAAGAAGTACGAGTGAGCCCAAGGTGCCATGCACCCTGCTATGCCCTTTACCCCTGTGGGATCCTCAACCAAGTATTTACAGATGAAGAAACGGACTCTGAGGGCTGCGGTCCTCCCTGGGTCTCTTAGCCAGTAAGGAGAGAGGAGGGGGTGAAGCAGAGCCTGTCTGTCCCAGGGAGGGCATCTTCCAGGCACCCCAGGGACACGTGAGCAGAGGTCTTTCTAAGGAGTTAACATCTTTTCCCTTCCTGGCCTGGGAGGTGAAGAGCGTTTTCTCTGCTCCTCTCCCAGTACACTGCCAGAGCAGGAATGCATGGCCAGGAGCTGTCTGGGCTCTCTGGAATGCTGTGGGTCTGGGCTCCTGCGTCCATGCCAGGGCTCGCCCCTGGATCATGTGGTCCTCCCTGTGCACCCAGTTGGGGCCAGGGATGCAGCGCCTGCTGCCACCCAGAGCCAAACCGCGGCCTGGTGGGCAGGTTTGGAGGACGCTGGTGTAGAAGATGAAATACCTCCTAGCAGCTCGGGCACTTAGGTGGTCAGAAACTGACAAGCAGAGAACAATAAATACTCTGTGGCTTCACTTCGTGCGGAATCTTAAAAACTAAAAACAAAACATTCCTAGAAAAAGAGATCAGACTTGTGGTCACCAGAGGATGGGGGAGAGGGAATTGAAAAAGTTGGTGGAAAGGGACAAACTTCTAGGTGTAAGATTAAACAAGCCCTGGGGGCTGTCTGGTACAACTTGACATTCAACACTGTTGTGTGATGTACAGGAAAGTTATTAAGAGAGTAGATCCCAAGAGTTCTCACCAGAAGGATTTTTCTTTTCCTTTTTTTGCTTTTCCTTTTTATTATATCTATATGAGATGATGGCTACTAAGTAAACTTACTGTGGTAATTATTTCACACTATATGTGAATCAAACCATTATGTTGTGCATGCTAAACTCATACATTGCTGCATGTCAGTTGTGTCTCAACAAAACAGGGGGAAAAAACCTGAAGGAAAGCCAAGATGCTCCTGTTACAACCTGAGTAAGATCATGTCTCTCCTTGACTCAGAACATTCCAGTGGAGCCCAGCTATCACAGCCTGCAAAGCCCTACAGGATCTGTACCCCAGCCCCCATTATATCCCTGATCATACTTTCTACTCCTTTCCCCTTGCTTATATCACTCCAGCCACACTGGCCTCCTTGCAGTTTCTCAAACATACCAGGCACAGTCCTACCTCAGGGCCCTTGAATGTGTTATTCCCACTGCCTATACAAATTCTTTCCCCACAAATTGCATTGTTCCCTCACCTCCTTTGGGGTTTTATTCAGATGTTATCTTCTCAGGGAACGGTGCCTTAACCATTCAATCTAACACACTCCTTAATATTTCCTATTCCCATATCTTGTTTAACTTTTTTATTGGCATCTATTCCCTGCTAATGTATTATACATTTTACATTTTATTTTGTTTGTTTTTGTTCTCCTCCAATAGAATGCAAGTCCCACCAAAGCAGTGATTTCTGTCCATTTGTTCCCTTCATAGCTCTAGCACCAAGCACACAGTTAAGTGCTCAACCGCTGAATTAATGGTTGTCTGAAAGACTTAAAGCAAACAGGGTCAGCCCGAGGAGACTTACACAGGGCTGAGGAACCTACCCCGAATGAGTTAAGAAGTTGGTTCCTGGAGAAATTAGGAGACCAGTTTTCTCCCCAAAGAGACCCAGGACAGCCCCAAGCTAGTTTCCAAGGACTGCCTTTGCACAGAGTCCCTCCCCTCTGATTCATTCTCTGCCTCCCTCCAGCACCTGGTTAACTCCATTCATCCTGGGGATATCAGCTCAGACTTAACTTTGTAGGGCACAAAAACCCTATTTCCCATAAAACCATAAAAGCCTTATTTCCCACCTCCAGGCTACACCAGGTTTCACACATTTTCATGGCACAGTGTTCAGAATGTAGCAGGGGCTCAGTAAATTTGTGTTGGGTAAATAAATAAATAAACAAATGAATGAGTGGATGGGGACACTGGCAACCTACGTAACTGAATGTCCACCTGAGTGGCTAGCTATAGCATCTACCCCAGTCCATACTGAGGGAGAGAAACTCTTCCAATGCAGCAGGGGGAATCTGTCACCAGAATTCCCTTCCAGGAAGAAAAGGAAGCCAGGTAGTGCCCTTCCAAACAGAGATGACAAAGAAAAAGAAACATTTCTATTCACCAATGAAAACCCCTAATATACTTGCCCTATGAATTAATTCCTACCCTATTTCTACATCATCTCGTACCGAAAAGGACGTGAGTCCCCAGCGCCTGTCCAGCTCTGACTAGTCACAAAGACCCCAGCAACAGAAGTGGGGCTTACCTCTAGGGCAAACTTTGGGCAAGTTAGTTTGCCTGTCCGAACCTCAGTTTGCTCATCTACAAAATGGGTGGCAAGACCCCTGTCCTAATTGCCTCACAGGGCTGTTGGAGGAGCAAATACAGTACTAGATGGGAAAAGGTGTTAAGAGAAATTTGAGAGACTGGGAAGAGGCAGTTCTCAGCACTGGGCAATGCTGGGAAATGGGAAGCCTGGCACACAGTCCCCCAGGCAGCAGGAAGACAGCAGTGCAGAAGGTCAGTAAGCTCAGGCACATGGGTGGTTCTGTTGGTTAAGCCTTTGGCTCTGGTCATGATCCCGGAGTCCTGGAATTGAGTCCCGCATCAGGCTTCTGCTCTGCAGGGAGCCTGCTTCTCCCTCTTCTTCCTGCTACTTCCCCTGCTTGTGCTCACTTTGTGTGCGTGCCTTCTCTCACTCTCTTTCTCTGTGTCAAATAAATAAATAAAATCTTAAAAAAAAGAAGAAGAAGAAGAAGAAGAAGGTCAATAAGCTCTACCAGGGCAGCAAGGAGCTCCACCTGGGGAAGAGGGAGCGGCGTTGCTGAGAAGCATGTGTCCAGGACCCCTTGGAGAGGAGGATTCCAGGGCCTGCTCAGCCAGAAAATGCAAGAAAGCAAGTGGCCACATTGTTGATGGGAACAAGGATATGGATTCTCGGTCATCTTAGAGATTTAAGCCCAAGCCTCTTGGACTGACATCCAGGCCATTCATTTGAGTAATTCTTTAAAAAAATAATACCTGCTAACAAGACAGTAAACAATGTGTGTTGGAGAGGATGTGGAGAAATGGGAGCCCTCTTACACTGTTGGTGGAAAAGCAAATTGGTGCAGCCACTTTGGAAAACAGTGTGGAGATTCCTTAAGAAATTAAAAATAGAGCTTCCCTATGACCCTGCAATTGCACCACTGGGTATTTACCCCAAAGATAGAGATGTTGTGAAAAGAAGGGCCATCTCTACCCCAATGTTCATAGCGGCAATGGCCATGGTTGCCAAACTGTGGAAAGAACCAAGATGCCCTTCAACAGACGAATGGATAAGGAAGATGTGGTCCATATACACTATGGAGTATTATGCCTCCATCAGAAAGGATGCAACTTTTGTAGCAACGTGGACGGGACTGGAAGAGATTATGCTGAGTGAAACAAGTCAGGCAGAGAGAGTCAATTATATGGTTTCGCTTATTTGTGGACCAGAAGAAATAACAGGGAGGACATGGGGAGATGGAGAGGAGAAGGGAGTTGGGGGAAATTGGAAGGGGAGGTGAACCATGAGAGACTATGGACTCTGAAAAACAATCTGGGGGCTTTAAAGGGGTGGGGGTGGGAGGTTGGATGAGCCCAGTGGTGGGTATTATGGAGGACGTGGATTGCATGGAGCACTGGGTGTGGTGCATAAACAATGAATTCTGGTACACTGAAAAGAAATTTAAAAAATAAAAAATTAAATAATAATAATAATAATAATAATAATACCTGCGAGGGGCACCTGAGTGACTCAGTGGGTTAAGCGTCTGCCTTCGGCTTAGGTCATGATCTCAGGGTCCTGGGATTGAGCCCTGCATCGCATCGGGCTCTCTGCTCGGCGGGGAACCTGCTTCCTCCTCTCTGTCTCTCTGCCTGCCTCTCTGCCTACTTGTGATCTTTCTCTCTCTGTCAAATAAATAAATAAATAATCTTAAAAAAAAAAAAAATACCTGCACGCTGTGTCAGTGTTCCAGCACCGCAGAAAGGCATGAAATAAAAAGTACAATTCCACCTGGCCTCAGTCTCACTCAGCATTTCTGTTTTGGTTTTCATATGATGTAACTGTAAATAACATGCTTGTCTCTTTTGTGTTCATAATGGAAGCAATGGATGCCCCCTCCCTGTGTGCTAGACATTCTGTGTCTGCCCCTCCAGGTCTGTCTCTGACCTTCTGCCCCTGCTCCAAGCCCCCAGAGGCTCATCTGCACAGGCCATGAACAAGGGCCCTGTAGTTTCCAAGAGGGTTTAGCAGGTGACAGGCACTGGTAACAGATGAGGATGTGGGGGGCATGCAGTTGGATTTGTCCCCTATGGGTCACTGGCAGGTGGCTTTGTCCTTCCAATGGGTGCAGCTCCTCCTGGGCAGCCCGGCAGAGCTTCCCAAAGCCCCTCCTCTCCTAACCTTGCCCAGGACACCTCTGCCTCCTGCTGCCCCCATCCTCACCCAAAATCACTCCTCCTCAGCTTGTTTGGGGGCAACCCTCCTTGCTGGTGAGCTCCAGCTTTTAGGTCAACAATACAGCAGCACTCACAGTGCACCTCACAGGTGTTCAATTTCTTTAGTCTTCACAACACCCCAGAGGCCAGCATTACGGATGAGGAAAGGCTGCTCAGAGGGGAGCGTGTCACCAAGGAAGACTATGCAATGTCCAGTGACACAGTTACAGTGGGGCCCGCACACACTCACCCCCACCCACGGTCTGTCTGGCCCCTTATGGGCTCCAGAGGCCCAGCTGAGGGAGCTTGGGCACACAGCTGAGCCCACAGTAGGGCCCCAGACACCCACAGCCAGATGGCAGGGCCTGTCCTGAGCGTGCTTGTGGGCCTCACCAATTCTGTCATTCTACCACACGGGCAGGGCACTGTGTGTTGTCACGGAAGCCACATCCCTGAACCACAGAGCATCTGCAGGTCTGGCCTCCCACACCTACCCCAACTCCAAATCTTCCCCAGATATCTCCCCCTGAGCCCCTCACAGACATCACAAAGCAAATGCATCCTAAGGAAAACCTGCCAAGCCTGCCCCTCAGCCCCAGTATACTAAGAAGCCCAGCACAGACCAGGCTTAAATAACAGACGTGATTTCCTCACAGCTCTGGAGCCCGGAAGTCAGAGATCAAGGTGTTGGCAGGGTTTCCTTCTAAGAATGGTGGTCTTCTCCCTGAGCCCTCACATGTTTGTCCCCCTTTGCGTGTCTGGGGTCTAATGTCTTCTTCTTATTAAGAACACCTGTCAGATTGGGCTCGCATGCACCCCAATGACCTCATTTTACCCTAATTATTTCTTAAAGACCCTATCTCCAAATATAGTACATATGCTGAGGTACTGGGGGGTTAGGATTTCAATGTATGAATTTGGGGAGCATAATAACATCCTAACCCCTTGGTGTGCCCCCATCTCACTCTTGCCTCACCCAGGGCCATGTCCAGAACCTCCCACCTAGTCATCTCTGCAACTGTCCCCACTCCACCTCCTTTGCTCTCCTGTGGTGGGATACAAGCGGCCAGCCAGGGCGGTCTCCTGTCTGAGAGCCCACGTTAGCTCCCCATGACCACAGCAAAAGGCCCATGCCCTAACTTACCCTGTCATTCAATGCTCTGAGTGACAGAACTCTAGCCAAGTGTCTGCTTGCTCCCACTTGTCCCACCCGAAGGCAACACTTTCTCTTGGACAGCCCTACCTTGGTCAGAGCAAGGACTCTGGACAGACCTGTCTGGGATCAAATCCTGCTTGTGTCACCCCTGAGCTGTGTAACTTTATGAAAGTGGTTTCTCCTTTGCCAGCATACCTATAATATGGGGACCACAGCAGCAGTGCCTCAGCCATGAAGGTGTCCTACTCGATCCCCTTCTTAAAGGGCTGCCGTGGGGAGCTTTGCTGACTCACAGCCTCAGCAGCACCCTCCGGATCTGGTGCAGCTTAGTGCAAGAGTAAGGATGTTAAGGGCTGGAGCCAGGTGCTCCTACCTGACCCCCTGACGCCCAGCATCCCCAAAGGCAGTTTGAGCTCTGGGGCCCTCTACCGAATGTGGCCAAGTTGTCTCCAACCTGCCCTGCAGTCTGAGGCTCTCTCTCCCCTGTCCTCCCTCCTTATCCTTCTCCTTTCCTGGATGCCAGCCCCGTACCTAGATCTAAGGCTCTCCTCACTGGATCCCACTTCTCCCTCCTTCCCCTCATCCTCTACAGGCACCCCCACAAGCCTCTTGCACATCTAACCCCTTCTTGGCATCTGCTCTCTAAAGATAAGAACTGGCACAGGTAGCTATCTCATAGGTTGTTTGAGGGTTAAGAGATATGCACAGAGACCTTAGAAAAGTGCCTGGAACAGAGTAGATAAACCTGACTCCCAGCCTCCATGTAGCTCCCTTATGAAGGCCATTCCCAGGGACTTGATTCACCCTATCCATAGAAGATTTCTGTGTATTCTTTTATAGATCAGGCCTTCTTAAGTTTCTGGAGTGTGCTATACTTCCTCTGACCACAGGGCCTTTGCACGCACTGCTCCCTTTGTTGTGAACACTCTTACCCCTCTTTCCTGTTAGCTCAGATATAACTTCC